CAGGATATTTGAAGGAGAAAACAGTTTGCTGAGAGTGTGCAACAAGAACATCACCGTTCGGAACACACTTCTGTACTGAAAGTCACCTTGATTTGTGAATGTGCTTTACAGAAGCATTGTTATTCGTTATCGATGTTGGATCATTAGTTACTCAAAAAAAGAGATAAATGCGATCTCATTCAAACTTTACACTATTCATTATAATGTAATGGATATCAAAAGGATGTTAATGGAACTAATTTCAAATAAAGATATGCATTTGACATGGCTTGGTAATGCTCTTAATGCATCTGTAAAAACAATGATTTTTAGTCAATATGTCCAGACGAAATGTACTGAAGTGCGAATGTGATTTATTTAAGAGCTGTTTCAGTGTATAGTTTGTCTCGCCTTTAACTCGAAATATCGTTCAAAACCATGGAATATAGCACTTTTTCGTTCAGATGTCAACTGCAGATAAACAAAAGTACAAGTAACTCATGAACACTAATAATGAATTAATTATCAGCTCTAATTAATTATCATTATCAGCTCTAATTAATTGTCATTATCAGCTCTAATTAATTGTCATTATCAGCTCATCGTTATAATGAAAATTTCATTGCAAGTTTCAAACTACTGCATGCGTATTGCGATAATACAATTATCGTCAAAAATTTCATTTCCCCATCAATTGCTAACATATTAAAAATCAGACACTTTCTTAAATGCTGACATTAATAATTCGATGCAGATCACGTACACAAACGAATCCATTTAACATATATGTGCTGTTCATTTAAAAAGTAACAACTTGCTTGATTTTTTGATCCATGCGACTACAAATCGCTTTACAGTCGATGTGTTTTTGGTGGCGAGAAATTTTTCTGGAAACTGAACTAACTCAAAAACGGCCGCAACAACAATGGCGACGATTGAGTCGCTCTTCTGATGAAGAAACGAGATGAAAAATATATTTTATGAAGAAATCAACTGATACAAGTGAAAATAACAAAACCTCATTACATACATCTCATAAATGAGACATCAAGCGGATTTTTTATTCAAGCGATTCAACATCAATTGCTGATAGACCTTCAAGGAAGATGTTTTTTGCATGTGCCAACTTTTTGAGTGATGTGAATCACTTCGTCGATGGAATAATGTTCTACTAGTGCACATATTGTTAGATTGTTGATTTGCTATGAAACTGTTTCTTCAATCATAATATGCGCTTAGTGGACTGATAAGAAAGGCACCTGACGGAACGGACTGTTTGTGATCATGGATCATACGGTGAAGGATTTACGGAACTTCAGGACTGGTAAGGACCAATTAGGATGACAATATACAAATAACGCTTTTTGGTGTGTTGTTCGTTGATCTAGTTCATGCCTTCAGGAGAAAACTTGATTCCGCTTTTTTGAACGGATTTCCATATTTGAGCGACGGTGCTTCCGGNAACGGATGATGATATCGTTATGCCGCTTAGCGATGACTCTTACTCTTACTCACGACTGAAGAAAACCGCTGTCGATACGTTCAAAAATTAATGATATTACTCATCATTATGCATCATAACAATGAGTCAGTATTACGTGGCAACGCATTTGAATCATCAACAGTTTTCGTTAATGGTGATTTCGGCAATGACAAGATTTGTTGTCGCGTTTCGTCAATTTTCGAGATAGTCCTCCTGCGAGTATCAGCACGACGCATCAGTTCACCATTCAATAAACCTGAAACACCCACTCAGATCTTTACATATTTGTTGTTTCACAGAATTGCGAATACACTTTGACAGTTTCATTTCAAGATAAATTCAATTAGAATTCTGAAAAATTCAATGTTATTAATGAAATGTGCTATGGCTTTGAAAAAAGAGAAGCTGACTGAAAGAAATGAATTCACTGAACAAGATGTGCTTAGGAAGCATCGATGTGCGCTAAATTTTTTCCTTTGAAGGAGCGAATTTACGAGTTAATCACTTAAAAACACTCTTTAGCGCATGCAGTGAATTGAGCTTGTATCTTGATGAGGCTATTTGACGAGAACGTCTAGATTCATTGAACCCAAAGTTGTCAGAGACGAAAGAGAACAACGATGTTGAACTTTCAACTTTTTTGAGAACGGAAGAAATTTCTCATTGTTAATTGCACTGTTTGATGACAAAATTGATTGACTTCATTGCTTAACTGACAACGGAATGACTCAACTAATAGAAAATGCTTCTGACTGAG